TGTGTGTCAGAGAAAGTGAGAGAGAAATGAGCTGGATATGGTACATGTTCAGCCCTTGCTGCTGGAGTCAGAGGCTGACACACTGACAGTACAATGTCTCCCAAATGAGCAGCTTGTAGAGCTTGTTACTGAAGTACATTATCTAGATTTTCACTCTCTTTACTTCTCTATCCCTCTTTCACACTCAGCCTTTCTCCCTCTGTCGGATTTGCTTGCAGATGTGTATGGTCTACTGGAAGACTGCACTAGTTCAGGCTCTGGATAATTTTTGCTTTTTTTGTATGTATTTGTTGTTCTAAAATGTTTATCTGTCTGTTGGGAAAAGTGCAGTACATCTTCCCCAAGCAATATTATACACATACATATGACCAATTTTCTCATCTTATACTCAATTTTCCTTTATTTACTATGTGGTTGAAGTCAATTTCTTTTATTTTATGGGTTATAGTCAGTTCTGAAAATATTTGAGGGTTGACTTTAAATGATGTTGAAAATGATGAGAGCATGTGTGAACTGTAAATTTCTATCTTAATCTACAGCAGCTTGTTATCTAAATACTATAATCATCACATACCTGCCTCAAATGGTATAATAACCTCAAATAGACATGCCTATTCTAGCTCAGTAAGCTTAAATAGACATGCCTATATGACACTTTGATCTATCTAGGAAATATTGATTTGATATAATGTACATACACTATATACACTACTATGTATGTGGACACCTGACCATCACAGCCATATGTCTGTCTTCACCAAACTGTTGCCACAATGTTGGAAGCACACAATTGTCTAGAATATCTTTACGTGCTGTAGCATTATGATTTCTCTTCACTGGAACTAAGGGGCCCAAATTTGTTCCAGCATGACAATGCTCCTGTGCACAAAGCATGGTTTGCTCAGGTTATTGTGGAAGAACTCAAGCCGCCTACACAGATCCCTGACCTCAACCCTACTGAACACCTTAGGGATTAATTGGAACACTGATTTTGCGCAAGGTCTTCTCGTCTTGACTTCATTGCCCAACCTCTTTAATGCTCTTGTGTCTGAATGATCACAAATCCTCGAACACAAAATAATCACAAATTTTGGAACATGTCTTATCACAAATCACAGACATGTTCCAAAATCTAGTGGAAAACCTTCCCTGAAGAGTGAAAGCTGTTATAGAAGCAAAGGGGGGACCAACTCCATATTAATTAATGTGCATGGTTTTAGAATGAGATTTTCAACAAGCACATATGTGTGTGATGGTCAGGTGTCCACATACGTTTGGTCATACAGTGTACAATCTGGTTCAAAAGTTGAATACAATGCTTCTATTTTGCATTTGTTTCTAATTTAATACAACATTTTTCATGACAAATGATATTATCAGCAACAACCTGAATGACAAGTAGAATCTTACAAATATTTTAAATGAATTTCAGAATTTCTTAGTATTTGGTACATCCCCGTTTTCCTTTAATGACAGTGTGCACTCGAGCTGGCATGGACTCTACAAATTTGTGTAAAACCTGATGATCCCTGTTAGATTAAATCCATCGGAATATCATCTGAACATGTGCTTCATTGGAAGGAATCACACTCAAGGAAAATCTGACCTTTGTTAGGAGTTAACGTGGTCAATATCACAAATTTGCTTAAATTTAAATAGTGACCTAGACATAGTGCAGTATCGTTAATATAAAATATTCAAGACATTTCCTTTCTTTGTTTAAACATAGCATATAACACTTCCTTTCTAAAACATTCTGTTTATTATATAGTATTGTATATTAGTTCATATACAGACTTTTGTGTATGCTTGTGCAATTAGTATTGCTTAGCCAAACAATGCATTTTGTGGCAAGTGTTGCCAAGGTTTTAACAGCTAATGTGTCTTGGCTGATCAACTACTTATTTGAGGTGGAAAATTGGGGAAAATTTGATTTTTCTCTGAATTCCCCCATTAACTGGCTCCTTTTCTGTTCAGGCCAATTTGCCTCAGAGATGAGCACAATGGGAATGCAAGCAGGAGTTAGATTGTCAGAAGAGTATCCAAATCAATTTGTCAGGTTGAATGTTCAGAATTCAGTCACCACTTGTCTGATGAAAGAAGCGAGAATGCTCTCAGGTGACTGACATGGCAGCTGTGACTGCTTCACAGAGCATTTTGGGATTGTATCCCAGGGCTGGGCAGCCATTCCTGTCCAGAAATCTGGCCCTAACCCAGCCATCCATCAGTGGCCAGTTCCAGTTTTATTCTCCTGGAGCGATACAGGAAGCACAGCCATGATTGAAGTAGCACAGCCATGATTGAAGTAGCATTGTTAGAATACAGACACCATCCACCTAGCAATACATGACCAATAATGTTTAGAGTTTCTATTTTTTCTTTAAGTGATCAAATTTTCTATGATCTGTTAAACAGAGGTTTTTCATTTCAATTTGATTAAACATTCAATTAGAACAACTTATAACATAGAGCAGGCATATACTAGTTGTTCAGTATATAGTATAACATTAAATAACTAGCTAGAAGCTGACTGAGGAAAACACTTAAATATCTATGTCATGCTGTCACATGGTTAGCTAAGCTAAACACACCACTTCTGACGGGACTGACACAATACAAAGCAGACAGCTACAGTAGCTAACATCTTGCTGGTAGTCATTGCTACATCACATAGCACTGTACAGGAGTGTGTGTCTTTACTTCAATAATAGAGGATTCAGTAATAGAAGCTGCTTATTTATCAGCACTGATAAATAAAATCATTCAATCATTTTTTGAAAGCAGTCTCACCCTATTTCACACTAGCAAGCAATAAAGTGACAGATGGCCATTCATTTTTTTATGTACATGTAAGACACTGTGCAAATTTCAGTGACAGTCCGATAAGTGACATTTGAATTTAGACTTTCTCGTGAAGTTCACACAAATTAGGTATGGACCTACAAATAAAAAAGATTGGCTACTCAGATCAATCCTTGAGTCCCATTTATTGTTTGACACACAAAAATCGAACAGAACCTTAAACCATGGTTTTATCTTATCCTGTCATATATGACATCTCATTACATGTGTTTAGACATTATGAAGAAAATTAAAGCTTAGAAGGAAGTAGCAGAAATGGTTGCCACTGCTGAGTGTACATAGCTAGTACATACAGATCGTTTTGCTAATCTGCCAATGAAGCTAGTACAAAAAGCCTAGCACATAATATGTAAATCAAACAACAGTTAGTGTTTAACTACTTAGCTTTAGAAGACCTTACATTTTGGTTACTACAATTTCTCATTGCAACTAAAAAATACTGGACACTGCACGCCTTCAAGAGACAAACTACACTTGTTGCTTGCTAGTATGAATATAGGGTCAAACATTTTTTTTCAAAACTCTATTTTGAAAAGACTGTTATGAATCCCACCTCTTCTCCATTATCACTGAACATCTTACAGCTGTAACTACAGTAAAGGCAACATTCAACAAAGTCTGGAGTTTAGAAGTTTTCCTCGGGAGCAGTTCAGATGGAAAACAAGCATGTGGTTTACACTCAAACAGCGGCAGTTTCAGAAAATTCCTCTGTCAACAGGAAAAAGGGCCTTGTTTCTTGACAGAATCAATATTCTCTTTAAACCAGAGAGGAAATGAACTGAACTGTTGCCATATGCACAAACTTCAGAAAACTTTTTTGATCAGCGTTGATTAGACAAACTAATGAAGTTTTCTATTTGCCAAGATCTCCATCCCTCCTCAAAAAAGGCTACGTAAAAAAAGAAAAGCTATGTACATTATCGTCAATGTGTATTTTTAAAGTGTGCGGTACCACAGGATTAGGCTGCCTTATGATCAAATTTTTAGACTTTGTTTCATGTGGCTATCAGGCTCTTTGCACTTTGTCTTCTACCATATTGCCCAAAGTCATCTGAATTATAAGACTAAATGATAAATGGACTGACACGATAATGATTTTAGGATGATGATGGGGAAATGAAAGAAATTATGATATAGCATTCCACAACAATGGAGTAACACATGTTCTGTGATCGAGAGCACCTTGACCCATGACCCAAACACAGAAAGCAGAAACTACAAGAGGAGTGATCTTGTACATATGGAGTAAGCCATCACAGACATTCTGACAAGAATTAATCCAGTGACTGAAGAATCTGTTTCAGCCTTTTCTGGATGAGGTTATAGTTTCTGCCAAGCCAAGAAAAAAATTCTCAGGGTTTGGTTTCATATAGATGATTGGGATTGATGAAGACTTATCTTGCTGTCTTTAGAAATAGTGTATAATAGTCAAAACATGATGATGGTGTTTGTACTCCATGGCAATACTTATACATCAAACACAATCAAAGTCCAGTGACTCTCACACCACAACGGCTTTCCTCTGATCAGTGCTTGATAAAATGTCTTCAACATCATTACACACACTCTTGTCCTGTGCCTTAAATGGTGGCTGGAAATCTGTTTCAAGCACTGAGAGAAAATTGTGGAAGGATTCAGTTATATTTTGTCTCAAAAAAAAAAAGACATTGAACTTGATCATTGATAATTCAGAGGTTTGTATTTGTATTTTGTATTTTTCATCTGCCTGTGTTTTAACTACAAACAAACAGGGATGCAGAAAGTACAGAGAAATCATACTTAAGATAAAGTATAAGTAATGTGTCAAAATCTAAAAAAGTGGCAATATCCAGAGAAATTTCCAGAAAAAAAATGTATTCAAGTGAAAGAAAAAAACCTGCTTTTAAGTGTTTTCAAGTATTAAAAAGTAAATGTTTTGAACCTATGAACTTGAATTAATGTCATGCTTTTATGTGAAAAGTAACTTTTGTTCAATTCAATTCAATTTTATTTGTATAGCACTTTTAACAATGGACATTATCACAGCAGCTTTACAGAAATAAATACATTCAGGATATACATTGTTAATTTATGAGAAAAACCCTGAAACCTTGAGATTACTTATTATTACATCATTACTTTTCTAAAACTGTTAGGGGTCCCTGGAGGACTAGTGGCTAGGCTAAAGTGTGCTCACCGCTGTGGCCTGGGTTCGATTCCCAGGCAGGGAACCGACCCCAGCCACTGGGGTTGCGTGCAACAGTGCGCTTTTAGTGCCGGGCCCAAGCCCGGATAAAAATTGGGGAGGGTTGCATCAGGAAGGGCATCCAGCATAAAAACTGTGCCAAATCAAATATACGTGGACCAATGATCCGCTGTGGTAACCCCTAACAGGAGCAGCCAAAAGAGGAACAACTTTTCTAAAACTGTCAGAATATAAATTTTAAAGCAACTATGCCATTTTGCCTGAAAACATCATATAATCTCTGTAAATTTGCTTGTCATATACAAGACTAATGCTAAGTAGTTTGCTAATGAATTAATCAAAAGTAAAATACCATGGAAATAACCAATGCTACTGGAATCTATGCTAGTCTAACCTGGCATTAGCAAAGAAAACAGGCTTATTTAGTTAAATATAGCCAGTTAATGTTAGCAAATTAGACAAATATTTAGCACCCCTAAAATCAGGGGTGCTCACTCACAAGCTCTGCACTGCAGTCCAGTGGCTTGTCCATCTTCAGACGCACATGGATAGCTATAGCGCCAACTACATTGTGTAGCACGAGAAGGTCACAACAGATGACCAATCGGTATGATTCTTGATAGATTTTTCTGCAATGATTATAATTAATATAATTATTAAGATTTATACTTTAAAGGTCTAAATAAAAATGTAAAGAGTAAAAAGAAGGGGTTTTTTTTGGAAATGTAATTAAGTAAGTATTCAATTTCAATAATACTCAAGTAAAGTATAAAAATACACTAAAATAATACTTAGAAGAATGAATAAATAATACTAAGTAGAGTAATGAAGTACAATTGCTGAAATAATTTCCACTCCTGACAGCAAGTGGTAGATATCATCAATATGTTTTTGGTCGCATTTTATTTTACAGTATGGTAACTAACTAGTATTAAACACATACAGTAGGTTTCCTATTAAATGGAAGGCATATAGGCTGCTACATACTTTACAGATATGGTAATGTGCAAAAACTACTAGGTATGTATCACAGTACTTGGTGCTATAATGGAACAATTTCCTAAATATTAACGGGTAAATATGTAGCTCTTACAATAATACTTGGTGCAACTGGGGAATTTTAGTACAAGCTAAGTAATTTGAAAAATACCTTATAAGTATTTCAGACATCAACTATATTTGGACATGATTCCATTAATTACCATTTCCTTTCTGCAGTATCAGTTAAATAATGATCTATTGTTAAATTTTTATCTGTACTTACTTTCATATTTCAACAATATATGCATGAATTTACTAATGAATGTAGTGATGACATATGTATGATATCATTCACATTATTGTACTGAGAGAAAATCTTGGAAGGATAAACTTACATTGTCAGATAACAAAGTATTAACTGTAAATATAACATCATTGTGTTCAGACAAAAATTAATTTGTACTATAAAATTCAACATAAAAAGTAAATTACTAGTGGAAATTACTAGTAATTACCAAATACTTTCCTACCATAATGTAAAACAAAGAGCAACCATTTTTATCCTCAAACATGCATTTTTCTTTAGTATATTTTATGCTTATTACAGATTTTATTCTGCTATATCTATATTTGAAACAATGTTTTACGCTGTGTTTACAACCTTCTCTGCCTCCTTTATCGAATTATTCAACCATTATAACATCGGAGAATGAAGCAGATAAGATTTTCCCTCTCTCATTGTATGTACATGAATGTGTGTAAACCAATATGTATCTGAATTGGTAGTATACAGTTTAAGATGTTAGACATCAAGGGAACAGCAGTGGTCTATCTCTCTCTGCCTGGGTCACTGGCAGCCGTAATAGTGCATGCTGTAAAAGCTCACTTCCCTCCAGAGACCTTCATGCTTGTTTACATCAGAGGGCTCTGATGTTATAATGGATGGTTAAAGCCTTAGAGAGAGGCTCCTCTGGAATTTTATGCTTTTTAACTTTCAAACATTATAAAGCGTTCAGCTGGCAGGTACAGTAGAAATCTGAGGTTTAGTTCTTTGAGCCCGGGATGGATTACAGGGCACCGCTGTGGCACTGGACCCCCATGACACTCAAGCCTCACTCAGTGATCTGAAGCTCAAAGGATCTCATTTTCACACCATGTAATTTAATGGCATAGCTCAAGTTTAGATAATCTCTCAAAGTACAATAGGATGAGGGGGGTGGGTGTAGAGGAAGGGTGTCTTACCATTACCATTTGGAGCCCAGAGGAATGCAAATCGCTTATTGATCTATTTATGGACAGAGCACATGCTGAAGATCACACGTGGAAGCTTATTAGTTGGATAAGCATTGGATGGCAAATGGTGTTACTGTGAGTGCTCCGAGTGGGGCAGCACAAAGAATATCTCTGTGGTTGTGTGTTAACTGAATAAATTAATGCATGCACCATTATAATTGGACATAACATGAAAATATGTGCACATTAGTAATATCAGTCTTTGGCAACCAGCTGTATATGAATGCCAAAGATATTTTGGAGAATGTTCAAAAACATTGGGAGAAGTATGGGTTCTATGAATATTAATACATTTCAAAGAATTGCAGGTGAACAGTGCAGTTAGAAAGTGCATGTTCAATCTCCAACTCTCCACATAGATCTTTGTTACATCAAATAGGCTGTAAGATGCCAGAATGATAGAAACTACAAAGAAAGCTATTTCCTGTTGCACCTTAATGATGTCATGCGTATGTGGCATGCACTTAAACAGCACCAATCATATTTGTATTTATGGCATTCCTGCCTGATCCCATAGGGAACCACTCAGCGCAGAGCTCCTTTCGACAGCAGTACAAATTTATCTTTTGCTTTACGATATCCACAAAATGAGTTCAGAATGCTTTTAAAACAGCTACAAGCGTTTGGTGTAAAGACACATGTGTAGCGTCTGTTCGCTCATGTGTGCTCTTTTTTTCCCTCCCCCTCTTCTCTCTCATGGAGCATAAATCGCTAGGGTCCCTCTTTGCTCAGGACCTTTCCACACAGAAACCATACTTTATCAATAAAGAGCACTCCTGAAACATGCATAATTGTGAGTGTAGCAACCGTATACTCACTCATCTCCTGACCCCAAGCCCAAAAATACAGAAGGCTGGGTCAAAGGCATGACTCACTTGGCCATTTGGATCTGCGTTTGCACTTAATCACAGGACAACCAAAATCAGCTCAATTTTTCATTTCCAAAGTTAGAGAGCTGTCTTAAAGGTCTACATATTTTGTGGTGAAACTTGAGAATGCAAAAGTAACTTTGAACTTTTTATTTAATATTGCTCGAGTGCTGTCTGAAAGGAAAAATTTCATCATATGTTTAATCATTAAGTTAAGATAGGAAGAATTTAATCTTAAATATGAGATGTAGGCAATGTTATGATCATTTAATTTGGACAGGGTATCTATAAAACTAGTCGTACGCAATTTCACTCAAAGTGAGTGGCAATAAATAGAATAAGTTTCATATTCCTCTTTAAAGTTGTGGCAGAGAGAAGGTAACTCCAAACGTATCTATTTGGTTTATTTATTAAAAAAAGTAATGTTATGAGGAAAAAGCGATGAAACTAGGAAATGGGTTTCTTCTCTGCCAGTGCAATAACTACATTAGATGATGGATGGGACTCTGGGGATAGCGTCACTCTTCAAGCAATTACGGTCTGTCTCATCCTGGAGTCCTCTTCAAATGTGGTGTTGGATGGCAATTTCATTAGCTAAGATTAGAGGCGGATATGAGGAATTGCAGAACATTATTGCACTTTACTGCCTGAAAGAGCTGCCTTGTCATATATGGCCTGACAAGATCTGACAGATGTATTAAGAAGCCTGAGACTTGAGAAGAATCTTAAAGACCTCCTCCTCTCTGCTGGACCATTAGGAAGTGTGACTATTAGATGTTGTAACTGTGTAATGTAAAAGGAATTTTTGTGTAATAATTAAGTGTATGCTAATTAATAATATCCAGAATTCACCATATATATATATATATATATATATATATATATATATACACACACACACACACACATATACAAACATACATATATACAAACATACATAAGCAGTATAGTATATAATTGGGTGCAACGGTGCAAGCCAGAACCCTAAATCAGATAATCTAAAACAATCACACTTGAACAGGAAAGGCGCTATAATCGTCGCCAACATCTGTAATTTTTTTTTTTTTTTTGATCTACAATGTTCCCTAGAGCTCTTAATCTCTGACGAAAGCTTGATGGAGGTGATAAGCAGTTCTGGCTTGAAAATCCCCTCACGGCACATTTGGATATCCTGCAACAGTAATGACTAAAGTGGAGTGGCAGCCATTCCTGTGCAGCAGAGGCGGCCCTAATGAGGCAAATAAAAACAGATCTGGAGCAGATGCTCTTAGTCAGGAGCCTTAAAACCACAGGTTTTTTTTCCTCTCTCCTTTTCCCAGGAAATGTGTGCTTGGCGTAGCTGTCAGCAGTTCCGAGATGCTGATAGGGGATTTGCAAAACACTTAAGATTAATATTTAGGGGAGCTCTGGCAAGAACGAACTGTATCCTGGCAACATTCAGCCGCTGAAGGAGGTATGCGCAAGACAAACAGACGTTTGATGTGGCCGCACACTGCAGCCCTGACAGTCTTGACAAGCTAAATGTAGGGCTTTTTACTGGAACTTAATTTCTGTCCCTTTTTATAGATTAGAAGATGTATTCTCCCCTGTGCCTTCATCCTTTACCAGTCAAGTGAAGTCACTGTCAGGGGCCAAAGATGAAAACATTCATTTTTTTAGAGATTAAAGCAAATTTAGAGGTAGTGAAATCTTATCCTTGGAACTAATATGCAAGTGGAACAGCCTTATCCAAGCCAATACCACAGGCCACAAACCCATTTGTAAAGGATGTTCGCTTAACTAATACAAGAGCGTCAGAAATTCTGCAAATTCCCTCGAGGATGTATCAAGCCAAGTGTTTAGCAGTGTTGAGATGCCAACCCCTCTCCTAAAAATGTCACAA